TGTTGTTTTAGTTTAATTATCAAATGTTGGAGGAACATGAACACACTCTTCAAGGAAATGTCGTTGATGAGTTTTTGTCTACAATTTAAAGTAAGATAACACATGAGTCTATATTTACTTTGCAACTAATTGTAGCCTTGTATACACCTGCCTTTTTTCACACCTGCCTTTTTCATTTACCGTTATAAAAATTCGAGATGTAACCTAAGACAGAAATAGCTTCATATGTATTTTTTATGAATGTATATATATATATATATTGAAAATACACTTACTCTTTGAAAACACAAAAAAGAAAACATGAAAATGATGTAACGGTTAAATATACAGTATATAGCCATTGATAAACAAAAGTATCATGTAAATTTATAAGAACATCTGAAAATACATGTACTATGTCTATATTTTGCATTGGGTCTCTTGAAAGGACAGATAAATCTAAGACAGTTTTGATAGTTCACTTTTTTTATGATTGGGTCATGTAGCCTCATGTGCATTTATGCATCTTAATTTTCATTGGTTTTGACTCTGAGCATTCATTTTTCCGGCTAATCAGCGACATGGACGTCACACATACACATGAATTAAATTTAAAAACACACAAGACTAACAAAGGCTTAAGGTTCCTGACTTGGGACTGGAGCAAAAATGCTGCGGGGTTAAACATATTTTGTGAGATCTCAACCATCCCCCTATACCTTTAGTCAATGTGAAATAAACAAATACACAGCAAAACGCACTGTAAAAACTCAGTTTAAAAGATGTCTGAGTCCGATGTTAGAATAAGTAACAGAAGAAACTAAGCAAAATGACAATGATAAACATAAATTGATAAAGGACTACTAGCAGTTACTGACATGTCAGCTCCAGACTTCAGTTAAACTGATTGAAAGATTTTGTCTTCATCATACGAAAATCAACCACAATCCCTCCCATTAGCGGGTTAGTATCATGCCATCATAAATTATACGAGAAAAACATAACACCTATCATGCAAACAACTGGTTTTAAAATAAATGTGTTTATTTAAGGAAACATCACCATCTAAAAACGAATAATTAACAATAGGATCTCATTTATCGTTAATTTGATACTAAGCTTCCCGATAGAGATCATATTCGCTAGCCAAGGATTACGATCCAGTCCCCTCCTCTTGGGACTGGATCGTAGTCCTTGGCTAGCGAAGATGGATAGAGATATAGATATCAAGACACAGGAAAGGGCAGTGTTCATTGTTAGTATAAGCTTTATTTAAAGTAAGTTCAACAGGATAAATATCTTTATTGTACATATTGAGGTCCTCATTATTGAGAGCCAAATATCCCCCAAATATCTAACAGTCTTATTAATTTTTTGTATCAGGTGTAGTTTCGATGGGTCTTTGATAATTTTAGACATAAATAGTGATTCCTTGCAATACAGAAACAGGTCTGCAATAAGCGGCGAACAGTCAGTCCCCATTGGAATTTTGATACCTTGGCGATATACGGAATCTCCATAGCAAACAAAAATGATATTTAGTAAAAATTCAAGTGCAGTTATCATATCAAAGCAGGTCAAATAGGCATATTTAGGTTTACAACTGAGCCACACGGTGCTTACAACTGCGTCACACGGGTAAAAGAAATAATGCTATTAATTCATTTAGTCGGTCAATAATAAACAAACAGCAGTCATCTAGTAGAACAAACATTTTTGCACAATACGTGAGATATAAGGTAGGTCTGCAGCCAAATAGATCGATATCCAAACACGTTATTTCCAAATGCTTACACGAAGAAGAAAAAAGTAAAAGGAGAATGTTTATATTAAGCAAATAATAAAAATATAAAGGTTAAAACCCAATCTATTAAATATAAATATATAGTTACATGTTTATTCCAACAGAACATTCATTCATAACATATTATAATTCCAAAGAACAATTTCAACTGTTCCATTATATATGTGTGCATACAACAATATCGTCACATTGTCACAACAATGAGTTAAATAAGGAAGTCTTTGGTACCAGAATAGCTTATTGAATGTACTGGTATCATGCTTCTGGTTGATGAATTTTGATAAACCACACGTTATTTCCCGCCATATTTATTCGTAACATTGCACTCGGAATTTTCCATTAAATCAACAGAGATTCGACCACTTTACCCCCGTTGACTTTAATATTTTACACTGTCAGTAGTTAAATGTTCGGTAAACCTAGTATTTTAAAAAGTTTGAAAAATTAACACTTAAGTGGATAAACATCATAATCAACGGAGTGGTTTGGTAGAATCTCTCTCTCCCATTGTTTTTTGGGTTGATAGTGTTGAGCAGGCAATGTTCCATGCGGACAGATGGAGTTACTTGTCTATCATTCGGACTTTTCTTATTTGCTGGATTAGAAGGAATGAAAATTGAACTTGACCTTCATTTAGTCACAGGAAACAACATATCTAAATTTGAAAAGAATTTCGTCAAAGGGTTTTCAAGTTAATGAACGGACACTGTTTGGCAGCCACCCGCCCGCCCGCCGTACATCCCCAAATCAATAACCGTTTTTTCTTTCGAAAATCCGATACGATTTCTACTGTTTTCACCACCATGCACGAACCTGAACTTATGAGATTTTGATATACTCTGAATACTACTGGAAACAAGTTTGCATCGTAGTTTCAACGATAAATTGTTTCCTAATTTCACCACGACATCGTTAAGTTCGACACTGCAACTTATTCTACAATATGAATGAAAATGACATAGAATCACATTTTCAAATAAAAAAACAAAAACTTTTAAAAGATAATTCGCTGATAACAAGTTTTAACAATAAGTAATATCTACATTGGGATCAATATTATGCACATCTAGGTGTTGACAGACCTTTGTCAGACAACAACATATTCCCTGTTTATTCTCTTTATGACTTTTCTCACTTTGAAATATTTTTCATTTCATAAAATATCTTTTTCGCCGAATATGTCAAGGAAACAATTGTAATTAATATTATTTAGTACCTCTAAATATTTCTCTATATTCAGTCCAATCTTGACTAAACTCGACTAGACTCTTGGACTGAACTGGACTGGACTGGACTGAACTAGACTGGACTGTTGACGGGACTGGACTGGACTGGACTCGACTCGACTCGACTCGAATGGACTGGACTGGACTGGACTGGACTGGATTAGACTGGACTGTGGACTTGACTGGACTGGACTGGAAGACTTGACTAGAAAGCTTTAACTTTTTCTAAATATATCTTCTTTATATTTTTTAACTGTATCAATATTACATAAGTATTTAGTTTGGTTTATATTTTAAATGCCATGCACAATGAAAAACAAACATCTTTGATTTGACTTAACTGTTAGAAGTTCAGTGTTGTTTTGGAAGCAATTTAATCTGTCATGAGGACCAAGATGTGTATTGTATACTATCAAAAATCATTATGTTATCAATAGAATAAAACTCAGTTTCATAATTATATATCCAAGTTTACAAATAACAAAGTACACTGTGTAAAACTTCTGAATAACATTTGAACATCATATATTGCCCTAGGTCCTCAGCGTTTAGTATTTTGGTTTACAAGTATTCAAGACTTGTTTTTTTAGCATCGATGATAAGAAAGATATTTTCCAAAGCGCATATGATGCTTTAAATTAGCTACAGTATCTTGTGAATTTGAAGTGTCTTAGATGCCAATTCTTTGGAAGTTATCAGGGTACTATCCGACAAAATACTATTTGTCTCAGATGTACATAAGGTGAAATATACGATGAAGAATACATGTACAGCCAATAATTATACAATAAATTCATCATCTATCTGCTAAATCTAATAAACTGAAAACACAGCCATTTCATCTTATTAAATTGATCTATAATCTCTAAACGTGGATTATATGTTTCGGCCTTTGGTTTTTTGTGCAGCACCGTCACACAAACTGTATACTAATACTTCTAGAGTAAATGCTGCATAGTGTACAAAGGGAGATAACCTCCGTTCTGTTTTGATTTTAAATGTAATGCTCTCGCTGTCTTAATTGAACAATTACACAAATGCATTGCTCTCCTGATTTATTATTGTACAAAAATGATAGAATTACTAACAAGCTAAAGGAGCGTTAACTGTTCATATAAAATCATGTCGTCTTGCTTTTTCCTATCGGGGAAGTCCGATTAGAATGGCATACAGCAGTAATGTCATAAACCAGCACAACAGATAAAACCGATAAAAAATTTTAAAACACTGTCAAATTATTATAGTTTTTAATTTTTCTAATAAAAGATGAAAGGAATAACGTTTAATGATAGGATAGAATAAGACCTAGGTCAAGATTAGAATGTTGCTTGAAAAAAATATATGTAAATATGACCAAGTTTAAGTAAGACTGCAAAAATCACAAAAATCCTTGCAAAAATCAGAGCTATGTAAACACAGTTCATGATTCATTTAATCACGGTACACAAATCCCCTCCCCCAAAAAGACCCAACCTACAACCAAATAGTGGTAGGAAAGCGTTACAGAAAGTCAGTGATTGTATATTTGTAAAAGACCTGCAGACAATAATCAAACCTGCATTAATTGTTTATTTTCATGTTCATGTTTAGATTTTAAACTAATAAAATTCTTATTCTTATTATTCTTATTCTGTTCAGTGGAGGGTTGGTGTTCCATAAGATATTAATTGCCGCAAGCATACAAATTTGACTACTTTTAAATAAATATGCGTACGCGTGTATTACCTTTTGAAATAATTTATATATCGGTCATTTAAGTAAATGATCTACATTAATTTTCGTGTTCGTGCTGAGATAAATCATTTCTATTCAAAGCAGAATATTTGAAATCTTGACAAATATGATGCTTTGATTATTGATTTACTAAAAAAAACAGTGCCAGAACCGAGAAACATCTGCCGTCGGTTTGTAACCACGGAAGCAGTACTATAAATAGCTAGCCAATCAAAGCATGGGAATTCAACGGGAAATACCTTTAACTCCGCCCAATACGGAACAAAGAGCAACAAACAAAGATTCAATACACATTTTACACTTTGTTTTGCGCAACGGATCTAAACAACAGAAACCTTGGATTTTTTGCGTCTTTTCCTCATTATGACATTGCCTGAAGCGACAAATATGACCGGAGATTGCAAAGCGTAAGTTTTTCTGTATATAATATTTTTGGCAACAGTTAAATCATGTGTGTTTAAAATTGCGCAATCATATCGTAGTATGTATCATTGTATGTAGAAGACTCAGTGCACTTTAATCGAGAAAGCGCAAAATTTATTTTTGTCATGCATTTAATGTGCCCAAATATAAAGCCCTTGCCGGAAGCAGTTACAATTATATGTTAAAAAACAGTAAAACTTTAATGCATGTGCAAGTTAAAAGGGGGGACGATCTGTCAACTTGTCATAACATACGTTGCATTAAAGCGATGCATCTGGATGCTGGCATCATCCTGGACGGATTGGTACTCTCTTGTAATATTATCGGTAAATTTCATTTTTTGTTATTAAATTAATGACGTCTTTGTTCATGTAGCCACGTTTTTGCTGACCCCGCCAGGTCACGTTGCGTAGGCATGCCTTTAAGTAACAAGTAACATTTACATCTCCAGACGGCTAGACAGAATGTAATATTTGCACGTTTGATGATTAATATATGTATATAGTTTTAATTGATTTCCTTTCATTTTTATATTGCATGGACTGCATTTTCAAATGTAAATTCCATTAGCTGTTTATCGGAAATTGACATGAATATTTATATCCATATTTGAATATTTAAACCTTGATCGATGACGTCAAAATACACATCATGGCTCAATGTCCTACGCACTAGTGAAATTATTTTCTTTGATTAACTCGATACTATTGATTGATATCTACGCCATCACTTTATTCAAAATTGCGAAAACAGTAAATATATAAAATAGTTATGAGGACATATTTTCAGCATTAACAAATATATTGCTTAGTAGAAACGCAATCGTCTTATATTGTAATATTTCTGGTTTAATAGGAAATCCATGAATATTGGTGAAGCTATCAAAGAAACTTTAATTAAGGCCAAGAGTGAGGACAGAATTACATCTGGAATTTATTCATCTGTCAAGATTCTACAAATGTAAGTTGAATATCACTTGGTATTGTTTTAATGACGGGTGGTTGGTACTTGTTGCATCACTTGCTGAAAATTGTAGACAAGCGAACCACGAAAAATAATTGTATGGAAAATGAAGAAGAAGAAAACGTTTTGGGCATGCATATCTCAGATCTTTAGTCACTGAATGATAAATTTGTCATACTGGTCATCTGCTGACTGATTTCATGCTGATTAATTCATTGAGGTTTGTGACTAATAAGACTGCTAAGTCATTCATGGATTACGGCCAAATTGACTACACAATTGTTATGGAACGAAACACGCATATAGTAGCTTAATTGTTTTTGCATGAATATTGTTGAAAATTGTATATTGAAGCTATATTTGTTGGTGTTAAATGCACAATGATGTGAAGCTAAACACGACACAAAGACTTAAAATAAAACCGATCTTCTCAATCATTGTTTTAAGACTCGTACTTTATTAAGGTCTGACAAGGGCTTGCTTCCAACATATAATGAGTTACTTTCACTTCAGTGACCCTAACTGGCATGTTTATAAAACAATTCTAAATGGCTTTACACGGTGTGACAGATTAATAACATATGTCAGGAGACTCCCAAAAAGACAAGTATACCATGCTATGTTTATGTTCCAATTATGTTCCAATTTTAAAGACAAAGTCTGTTTTAAGCAGTATATTATGTCAGATAAGCAATGGAAAAGCGGTATTATACAAAGGGCTTTGAATTGAACAAGGGGTATATAGCTAAAAGATATATTAAGTCCATTTGTATTGTCTGATTTGTCCTCTTCCTTATTAACATACATGAAATATTTGCTACTGGACGCTCAGGAAACAACACGCAATTAATGTATATTACATACTGTTAATGATCCTATTTGTTATTGTATATTGGTCAGATGATTTTACACATATATATTTATAGACATATATAGAAACAGCTGGGGATATTTACATAAAAACATCATGGTATTACGCTTGGTCGTATGTATGTATGTTTATGTTATAGGGTACATTTGAAATTCATGCAAATTGGTTTAAGCAGAACATTCTTTTGGAACTGAAATCTTCATTTCTTTAATATTTGGGTTGTGAATTGTGATAGGCTAGCTGATTCATAGGAAATTCGGCTTTCAATTAATAACACAGGCAAGACATTGCAAGTGCATATATATTTGATAAAACTGCAGGAGCTAACATACCGAAATGGCAAAATGGGGACATTTGTAGGTTAGAAAATCTAGGAAACATTTGAAGAACAATATCAATATTTAAACCACTGCCGAGTACATCATTAGAAAATAAATCTTCAAGGAGAGAAACATCGAGATTCTAATATGAAGTACTGAGGGGCATATATAAATATGAAAATATATCCCTATCAGTCATGACAAACGTGTAAAATAACTCCTGAAATATTAATTTTAAAAACAGTGCTCTTTTTTTTTTCCAGAAGTCCAGAGATGGTGATGCTATGTCTGATCATGGATGCACATCCTTCCGAGGACGTGTCAATTCACATACAACACACATTGATAGAAGCATACTGTCTCGAACAGGACATTCATTTCTTAAAGGTGAGGAGGCCTGTCTGTTTTCAAGGGCTCTTAGTTTTGGTCTTGGGGCATATTTAGTAGGTTGACCGTTTTCGAGCATACACTATCACAGCTGTGTGTCATCATACGACTGACCGGCGACATTATAACGTATGAATATTAAATCCTTCCGAGGACGTGTCAATTCACATACAACACACATTGATAGAAGCATACTGTCTGAACAGGACATTCAATTCTTAAAGGTGAGGAGGCCTGTCTGTTTTCAAGGGCTCTTAGTTCTAGTCTTGAATATGTAGGTAGACCGTATTCGAGCATGCACTATCACAGCCGTGTGTCATCCCTTTCTTGTGTAAATATATGAATGTATGAATATTAAATGTATTAAAACTTTAATGCCTTTACGACATGTATCCAATGCCCAACAAAGGCTATAGAAGAAAGGGAACCTTTACAAACCAAAGAGAGTACCAATGATGTGCAATACAATATCAGTATAAATGCATAGTATGGAACTTGTTAATATATTCTAATTAAAGAAGCAATCGAAAGTTTGTCTTCGACGTTTGAAGTTTCACCCTTGTCGTTATATTTCAAAAATATTCACCTGAATTTTAAAATCATTTATCAAGCTATAAATGTATTAAACAGAAGCAGGAGTTGTACATACTGGAAATTTATAATTCTGTTTTTATAAACAATGTATGACTATTTTATCAAATGAACAAATTATTTATACTATTCATGTATTTTCTTTCAAAGTGGTAAATATAAATGTAATAGAGAAATTATATAATGTTTTTAGAACTAAATTGCGGACAATGTCCATATAAGTACCACACCTTTACAATCGTTTCTATTTTCAGATCATTGTTTTAAGCTTATGTTTATTGTATTTCTAGGTGTCAAATTTAGACAAAATTGGAGAGGTGTTGGAACTCCCTGCTGGTGAATTCAGGAATTCTAAAGTTGATTACAGCTGTGTTGTTGTCCAGGTAGGTTAATTCTTCTTTACATAATTGTTATTTTTTTATTATTGATCATGAACTTAAGTCTTTAATGTAATTCCAAATCTTATATGTTATGCAAGATATCAGGTTATATGACAAATATATGTAGCTCTATATCTATACTGGGAACAAAATATATGTTCCTGATCTATATGAACATTTAATATTTCATTTCAATGTAAAAAAATGTTTTGTTATGTTACAAATCATAGTGTATTGTTTTGTGTGTATATATGTCATGCTGCCCATCAAAGACCCTTAATTGGAACAATAAATATTCTTATTCTTATATTGTAGAACAAAATAATTGGTCGAAGCGCGTGAATTCTCAAACTAAGGCATTTTCAAATTTTATTTGGTGTTTATATATTTTATTTTATTTTTTGCAGCACTCAAAATTTCAGAGCAACTTCGATGACATCATTGGAGAATTCTGTGACAAATCTTTATTGGCAGACGACATGTTCGCGAGACCTGTCATAGATCTACCAGTATGAAAATCCATGTTTCCAAATGTTGTTTTCATCAGCCTGATTTCAGGTATGTTTAATTTCTTGTCTGTAAGAATTTATTATCAGATGTTTGGTTTCATCGTCAATTATTTTCTAAAATGTGTGCTTCTGTCAACGCTTTTACACTCCCAATAAAATTTTAAAATGAAGCATTCAATTCTTAAATGAAAATTTAGACAGAAGACTCACTGGAACTTGATTGTTCGTACATTAATAATTCCAGATTTTGTTTTAAATGGATAGATTTTATTATGCCCCCGCCGTAGCGGAGGGGGCATTAAGTTTTACCCTTGTCCGTCTGTACGGAGGGGGCATTACGTTTTACCCTTGTCCGTCCGTACGTCCCAAAGTTGGTTTCCGTTCTCTTTCTTTAGTTTGCCTCAACCGAATGTTATGAAACTTATACAAAATGCTTATTACCACAAAACACAGATCAATTTTGAATTTTGGTGGCGTTACTTTAACCGTTCTAGAGTTATGCCCTTTTACAAATGGAAAAATTGCTGAATTTTTCGTTTCCGTTCTCTAACTTTAGTTAGCCTCAACCAAATGTTATGAAACTTATACACAATGCTTATTACCACAAAATACAGATCAAGTTTATTTTTCGTTTCTGTTCTCTAACTTAAGTTTGCCTCAACCAAATGTTATGAAACTTTTACACAATACTTATTACCTCAAAACTCAGATCAAGCACAAATTTGGGTAGCGTCACTTTTACCGTTCTTCAGTTATGTCCCTTTATAACTTTATATGATATGCAAAGGGGGGGGGGGGGCAACATCTGTGTCCAATGGACACATTCCCCATTTATTAAAATATGTTTTATCCTTTCAGGTTAAGATAAATAGTGTATACCTGCTGTGAAATGATTGTCAAATCAGTTCAACACCAATTCCGTCCTGATCAGCCGAGTATCGACACATTTTGAAAAATAGTTGTGGCCCCACGTTAACCATCACCACGATAAACCAATCAGAAGACAGCTTACTGACAGTAAGGACTTAAGTGTTGAAAGAGAAAGAGTTCAGATTGATAAAAATAAAATCTTAAAAAAAAAAGGAAATGCTTTCTCAATTGGTTAAGATAGATACTTACGGACGACTTAAGAATAAATATCTTTCTAGTTATATTGAGAGGACAAAGTGAAAGGGGAAATCACGAAAAGGAATTGAACTTGCTAATTGACGGAAAAAATGTCTTGTGATTAAGAAAAATGATAAAAATGGTTTAAACAAGACACAGAAATTAAAATTTAGACTTATGAATCTCACTAAAAATCAGATGAACTCATGTGCGTCGAAAGGTAACGAGTTCCATTCCTATATGTGACACCTATTTGTAATTTATTACTGTAACAAGTGAAATTCACCATTATTAATAAGACGGGTGCCACTAGTACAGCAGTACCTGCTTACCCTTCTCTCTCGATCGATCGATCGATCGATAGATCGAGATGTGTAAATGATAAGGAGATGTGGTATGATTGCCAATGAGACAAATTTGATGTCTACCCGGTAGACGGACAACGATATACCATAAAACGTCCCTTCGATGACGGGTGTATACAAAAGAACAATTGTACCAAATAAAGCCAGAAATAAATTTGATAACCATTTACTTGAAATTTTACCAAAGCTGTTGGAATTGGTAAAATAAGCTACTTTCAGTTTTAATTTTTTTTTTCGATTTGATATTACAAGAGTTACGATTTAAGGTATTTTTTATCTCGCCTGCGGCGATTTCTTCGCAGTATGCGAGAAATAGGTATTACTATCCGGCGTCGGCGGCTATGTAAACTATTTGTATAAAGCTTTATATTTCAGAAAGTAAAAAACCTAGATGTTTCATGCCTTGTATTCAGTTACCTTATGTTACAAAGTTTCCGTCTGTCATATGTCCATTGTCCTTGACCTCATTTTCATGGTTCAGTGATTGCTTTAAAAAAATAGTTTGTTTGTCATGTTAATTTCTCAATTATTATGAATAATAAGATAACTTTATTGAGTATATGGTTCCTTGCAACATCTACATGTCCGGTGTCTGACAGAGTTCACCTGACCTTGTCCTCATTATATGGACCAGTGATCAAGGTTAAAGTTACGCGATTAGGTCCGTTTCTCAGATACTATAAGCAGTAGGTCAACCAGATGTGGTGTGTGGATGATTATAGTACATGTCAGTCTGGCAGGTTTCATCTGTCCTTGTCCTTGACCTTGACCTCATTTTCATTGTTCATTGGTCAATGTTAAGTGTTTGTGTTTTGATCAGTGTTTTAAATACTACAAGCAGTATGTCAACTATATTTAGTGTATGGAATGATTGTAAGGTGTACATGTTTGTCTGGTAGGTATCTTCTGTACTTGACCTCATTTTCATGGTTCATTAGTCAATGTTAAGTTTTTGTGTTTTGGTAACAGTTTCTAATTAAATTCCTGCGAAATATTTTATTTTATTCTTGCATCAATTGCAGTATGTATAGACGGACGTATCATGCGTTCCTGGCGCAGATGTGTATTATTTGGATTTTTTTTTTAGTTTGACCTACTTTTTGTGCTCTTACACAAATATCATGTGAAGCATAACAGTTTTAAATCAGTTTTTATAATGGCATCTCAACTATTATACAATCGATACGGTGAATGATTTTAACGATGCAAGAACTATAAAAACTCTATAGAGCAGAAATTGTAATTTATTATTTATTAAACTTATTTGAATTATGTGTTTTCAATTCATATGGAACAAGTAACTTCCAATTTAAACGTAAAGCGTCTTAAGTAAAAATTAATGGTGGTAAAAACCAGGTTGTACAGTCTTCACAAATATTTCGATGTAACTTCAACAACAATCAAATCAGTAGGAAAATACTATCTGAAGCTGAAAGTAAGTGTTTGGTTTTACTTTCAATTTAAAAACTCAAAATCTGTTTTAAATTTGAAGTTCGATTTTTTCAAGGTTTATAACATTCCGATCTTAAATTCAAAATGAACTCGTTACAAAATTTAGGTTACTAGTAGTAGTAGTACTTGCAGGAAACACTACATAATTCCAAAAGCTTATTAGTCCTAAACTGACGCAGCTGCTATACATACGTATGGACAATTTACTCAAATGTGTTTCACTTACTTGGACAAAATCCGAAAGTTGATGAAACCTGGTTACATATATCAAACCCATTTATACTGGAAAGAAGATATTTGAATAATTTTACACATGCCAAAAAATTAATTCTTTTATTACTTAAGTATATTGCTGTTAAATACAAATTGATGCATGATTGCCAATTCAACATCATGGTTTTTTTTTCTAAAAAAAAGAAAAAACAACGAAAAAACTGCAGCCAGTATGTAAATAAATTTAATTTTGGGTCGGCGCATATATACAATTAACAATAAACAAGAGCGTAAGAAAGCTCTCACAACCGGTTATAACATCTATACTAAGCATCACGATAAGCAAAGTTTAATCTAAGTCAAGTACAAATAAGCATAAAAATATTATCACACATATTTATCAAATATGATAAGCACGCATATGAGCATCAAATAAAATAAGCAAATATAACCATCAGATTAAAATTAAACCGAATATGGGTCAAAAACCCTATTAAAATTTCATATAATCACATAATTAAATATTCAAAACAATGCAATGAGGTTATTAAAATTCACAACATAAGCAGAAAGTTGTTATAATATACTGAGACATGTAACCAATAATAATGTATCGTAAACCAGGTAGCAAAATGTAGAGCAAATAAGGACGCAGGAATAAAATTCAGCCATGAGACAGCAGAGTTGTGTAGTAACAGGCACTGCAGAAAAAGTTGTGTCCACCACACCAGCTTTCGATATGTAATTTTAAACTTGTCAAACGAGTCCTTACTTCTGGCCTCATTTTGGCAACGAATTTCGAAGTCGTGCTGCCTCATAACTGAAAGAATTATAACCTTGTTTAAATAATCATTATTGTAAAATCGTTCAATATGGCAGTATAGTCATCTGCAATCTTGTCTAATCATCTGTGTTCGATTACATTTAACTGTGACTTTACTGTAAGTGTTTTACTCCACCTATTGCAATCCTATCAAAATTATGACAAACTGGCAATTTTTTTCATCACGTCAAACTGTACAACTGATAAAAAAAAATTCCCAAACTACTCAAGCAGAGCCATTCTAGTTATCAATGTAAGAAGTGCAAAAAATAAAGCATACTTACAATGCTATTAGATTTAGCCCCCAATTCTTAATAAAGCATACTTACAATGCTATTAGATTTAACCCCCAATTCTTAATAAAGCATACTTACAATGCTATTAGATTTAACCCCCAATTCTTAATAAAGCATACTTACAATGCTATTAGATTTAACCCCCAATTCTTAATAAAGCATACTTACAATGCTATTAGATTTAACCCCCAATTCTTAATAAAGCATACTTACAATGCTATTAGATTTAACCCCCAATTCTTAATAAAGCATACTTACAATGCTATTAGATTTAACCCCCCAATTCTTAATAAAGCATACTTACAGTGCTATTAGATTTAACCCCCAATTCTTAATAAAGCATACTTACAATGCTATTAGATTTAACCCCCCAATTCTTAATAAAGCATACTTACAATGCTATTAGATTTAACCCCCCAATTCTTAATAAAGCATACTTACAATGCTATTAGATTTAACCCCCAATTCTTAATAAAGCATACTTACAATGATATTAGATTTAACCCCCCAATTCTTAATAAAGCATACTTACAATGATATTAGATTTAACCCCCCAATTCTTAATAAAGCATACTTACAATGCTATTAGATTTAACCCCCAATTCTTAATAAAGCATACTTACAATACTATTAGATTTAACCCCCAATTCTTAATAAAGCATACTTACAATGCTATTAGATTTAACCCCCAATTCTTAATAAAGCATACTTACAATGCTATTAGATTTAACCCCCAATTCTTAATAAAGCATACTTACAATGCGATTAGATTTAACCCCCAATTCTTAATAAAGCATACTTACAATGCTATTAGATTTAACCCCCCAATTCTTAATAAAGCATACTTACAATGCTATTAGATTTAACCCCCAATTCTTAATAAAGCATACTTACAATGCTATTAGATTTAACCCCCAATTCTTAATAAAGCATACTTACAATGATATTAGATTTAACCCCCCAATTCTTAATAAAGCATACTTACAATGCTATTAGATTTAACCCCCAATTCTTAATAAAGCATACTTACAATGCTATTAGATTTAACCCCCAATTCTTAATAAAGCATACTTACAATGCTATTAGATTTAACCCCCAATTCTTAATAAAGCATACTTACAATGCTATTAGATTTAACCTCCAATTCTTAATAAAGCATACTTACAATGCTATTAGATTTAACCCCCAATTCTTAATAAAGCATACTTACAATGCTATTAGATTTAACCCCCAATTCTTAATAAAGCATACTTACAATGCTATTAGATTTAACCCCCAATTCTTAATAAAGCATACTTACAATGCTATTAGATTTAACCCCCCAATTCTTACATTTTGATACATGTGAATTTCTGTATATACTAGTCAACAAAAGAAACGATACAAGGCAATGTATTTTCCATATATAATGAAATTGGATACACTGTACCAAGGTAAATAATTGCCCAATTGGTCTAATATTTACAGAGTATTATTTTCTTATCAAAACCTTTGATTTAAGGCAAATATGCGATTTATTTTTTTTGCTATTTTTGTTATTTCAAAAATCGTATTTTCACCCAAAAATTCAAAAATCGATATTGGTGTAATACCACCAAATCATAGTAAAATTGGTCGAAAAAATATATTCCCTTGAATTTGACAGTTGTAGGTAATTGATCCTACATTTCATTGCAGTAAAACATTTCTGGGTCATAAACATATATCTTGGGTATTTCAAAGCACCATTATTTTTTTATTTGGGGTTTCTATAGAATATTTTGGAAACTTGAGGTAACGTGGTTACTAAAGCTTGTACACAGGTTAAAAAAGGGGGAAAATTTGATTGGTTAACTTCCAGTGATGGTTATTTTCTTATATGCAATGAAATGTGATGTGAAATTTTTTCTATAGTACTGGACAGGATAAAACTTTACTCATGCCAAGTATTTCTTTATTTGAAACAAAGATAAATTCTGCACAATTTTTTTAAAAGTGCAAATTTAACAAAGACTAATACGGGAAAATCAATGGTGGTATTACACCTATTAGAACTAAAAAACTATAAACTTAAACATGGTCTGCTTAAAATTTTGAATGCCTTTGCAGATATTTGAATACTTAATTCTCCTCTTCGAAATCAAATGCCGACTTTTGTCATAATTTTTCGCAAAA